CAGACTCATATCAAAACCCTATCATGTAATGCGCTTGAATCATCCCAAAACCATCCCCCCCAGTCCGTGGAAAAATTGTCTTCCACAAAACTGGTCCCTGGTGCCAAAAAGGTTGGGGACTGCTGATATAAATGATATACGTTGAGAACCAACAATATGGGAGCTATTTTGCGAAGGCAAAGAAGTGCACATTGGCAATGAAGGAATTTGAGCTTTGTAGAGGCCAAAGTTGTATAACATCTCTTTAACACATGGTACTCCTCTAATGATGATCAACCACCCAATTATGGGTGGTTAAAATGAGCCCTAATACAGGCTAAACTGGGACACTCTGAAGGTCTTTTTTTGGCTAACGGGGTTTAGTAAATGCCTGGGAAGCACAAGGCAATATGGTAATTAAGAATAGACAGGTAGAGGTATTTGTTCTAATTTTTGAAAGCTGTACTTTTTACCCATTTAATTTCATTTGTTTTTATAGTTCAACTGATGAAATAGTATTATAAAATCCCTTGTAGAAGTGCCTTATAACCCCTCTGTATTACTGTTTGAGGTATCAAGACTGCAAGATATAAGATTATCAAACAATACACACTTTTATGGACTGTACAGGGACAACCAGCATTTATAAGAAACTTGTAATTTTGTTCCAATAGATGACAGCAAACTTCTCGGTATTTTGATTTCACTGTTTAAAATTCATTCAATACATTAAAAATAGTAAAAATTAGTTCACATTAAAGTACCATGCTTAGCCTTAAGAGAGCTTTAATAGACTTTGGTCTAAATTAGCCTGCACTTTCTTATAAAACTGAGTAATGCATTCATTTATTTTAAATTATTCATAGTATAAATGAAGTTGGAGTTTGGAAAAAAGCATAAATGGTCATTTGATTATTTTGATTGCCCTTTGGGCACTGAAACTAATAGATTGTGCATTCTTCAATATATAACTTACTAATATGAGAAAAGCTAATGAGAGTTTTAAGATTATTAATTAAATGTCCACCTTAGGCACAGAATCCAAGGGTATAATTATGCTGGGAGATTCTGCTGGAGCTCTGGCTCACATTCCTCCTGAATGGATAACAGCATCGCAGATATCACCGGTATGTCAGCATCACAGTGGACAATGCTAACACTGGTTGGCTTTAGCAATGTACTTTCTTCTGTGTTACAAAGGGGGCAGATGAGAACAGATGTAGAAATGTCTACTGATATTTAGCTTTCTATGGCTTTCAATAGAAATTGCCACCAGTGTAATAATGCATGATCATAGTGCAGTGAGGGAGATGTGAATTCATCTCATAGAAACTATTTAAAAAGGGGAGCATCTGGATAATTTATTACTGCTATAGATGTGAATAGTGATTTCTCATTTTCTACTGTTTTTTGCATTGAGTGAGATTATTATATATTGCTTGTGGTATTTTTATCATTAGGATAAAAGTAAAAGTTTCCTTCAAGTCAAATTTGACCGTGGGTAACCCCATAGCATGATCATATCCATGTCTTTTTCATGGGGACAACAAATAAGCAGTTTGCCACTGCATTTTTCCAGAGTGTTTTTTTTTTTTAATTTGCCTAGTCCAGCCTTGATTTGATTGATTATGTGCCATCAAGTCAGTGCTGACTTTAGCAACCACACAGATTTTCTCCAGGACGATCTGTCCTCAACCTGGTCCTTCAGGTCTTCCACCGGTGCACCTATCACTGCTGCAGTTGAGGCCATCCACTTTGCTACTGGCTGTCCTTTCTTTTCATTCCTTCTACTTTTCCCAGCATTATAGACTTCTCCAGAGAGCTAGATCTTCACAAAATATGTCCAAAGTATGATAATTTGAACCTGGTCATTTGTGCCTCGAGTGAGAACCTTGACTTGAGTTTATATTGTCTATCCATGTGGTTTTCTTGATAAAATACAGGAGCAGTTTACTACTGCTTTCTCCTTAGCAGTATAAAAGGACACCTTTGCCAGTATCACTAAAATGATCATCTGCCTCAAGCATCTTCCTATATCGCTGATGCCCAGTGAAGGTGCCTGCTTGCTTTAGCTGGGCACCAAGATGACCCTGCTGGGATTGTATCCTCTTGGCATACACTCCCAGAATTCCTTGCTCATTCCTCCCAGAAAAACCCCTCCCCACTACAATGAGGATTTGGGGAGGCAGTCTAGCCTAGGGGGGAGGGAAAAAAAAGAACCCTTGCTAAAAATGTGGAGGACAAAGAATAGCTCAGATTCATGTTTTGGAGGGAATCCTTGAATCGGCCTTATGCAACTTGATGCCTTCCAAAAGAATTTGGCTAGAATTCTCATTCTCCCAACTATCTTTTGCAAAATTCACCACATTGGCATTTGAGTTAGATTTGGTTGACTTTAGATTTTGTTCTTGAAATTTGACCAACTTAAAATAAACTGTCAGCATTCAGTAATGAATGCTATACATATATGTTATATAGCTTGGTTTCTAAGGAAAGTTAGTGGAAGGAAAGCTTACCCTCCCCTTAACTGACACATCCCCTCCCCACTCAGAAAGCTTGCCTGAGGGATCCTAAAAAAAAGTTACCTGAAGGAAGATCACTTGGTCAACCAGCCCATCCTAGAAGCTTCCACTCACCCCCCAGACAGGCATTAGAGGAGAGTGGTGGAGCTGGTTGCAATGTTGAGAAAGCTCAGGGAACATTCTGACTGTGATATATATACAGTATGCTGATGTATCTTACAATCAAAGCTATGAAAGTTTTATATGTTGATATTTTCTCTAAGATTCATAATTACTAATAATGGTGGGGAAAACACTGAAGTTTTTGCAAACAGATTTGATGTAGTTTACCCAGTGTGCTGGGTCATTCACAGATTGCCAGAGAAGAGGGCTTTAGCAAGTCAAGAACGTTTGATCCTTTTCTTCCTGGAGTGGTCCCCCATCCAGTTCAGCCATCCAACCCTGGTAGTAATTTGAATTGGGAAAAAATACTCACATTAATTTCAGTGGGAGTTTTCCTCCACTGATTTGGATCAAACCACTTTTGTTTGCAATTTGTTTGAAATAAAGAGCTTTACCCATAATAAATGACATGAATAATGTATGTGTGCATGTGTTAAAAAATCTATGTGGTCGCTAGGAGTTGAAAACAACTTGATGGCACATTACACACACACACATACACACGGAGAGACTTGATTATTACAGAATGGAGAATGAGAAGTAAATTTATCTTCTGCCTGTCCCATCATGAAATTTTCATCCCAAAAGAAATAGGTTACATGAATAACATATTGAATCCTTCCAAAAGACAATTGGAAGAGTAAAAAAAAACAACTCTGAAAGCAGAGATTCAGTAGCAGGAATGCTGTGGGCAGAATGCAAATTACATATCAGCATTGTTGATAGTTTTAATTTTCCTTTGGGAAGCCCAGCTGATGAGATGTTGTTTTTTCACTTGTTAATGTTTTATGGGCAACGATTGTAAGAATAAGACTGATAATGTCATGTAAGTGACAACTGAGATTGCCTTATAATATGGTAGCTGTTTTAATGATTGTGGGGACAATAAGAATAATGAGGCATGAAAGTAATGCATTCAAGCTGGCTTTTGAATCAAACTTCTTCGGCTTCAACCCCCCCCCCTTCAAATGGGAGGTTGCAATTCTTAGAAATCCATGAGAGCTGGGGAATGGTGGGAGTGGCTGTCCCAACACACCTGGAGGATCCAAGTTGTGGGAGGTTGGCTTAGGTTGTGAAAGCATTTATTTTGTAAAATTTTGATGGCCCATTCTTTTTTTATTTTTTCACGAGCATTTGTTATATTGTGGGCAAACAGTTATTTGGCATTTTGAAACATTACTTGGGGTTTCAGCCTCTGATCTCAGTACTAAAAACCTTTCGTTGCCCTGAAATAGCATAAAATAACTATGCCATGGGGCTCTTATGTCCTTAGCCCTGTAAATTGCTTTAAATAATTGTTAATCTTGGCATAGATGAACTACTAATACCAAAAGCAGTATTTATATTTATATATTGTTATATTTGTCCATGTCCCCCCTTCCCCATTGTGGAATTCAAGACAGTGTATCTAGGCTACTTAGAGAGTCATTAGATTAGATAACTCATTAACTTCAGATCATCCAAACTTCAGAAAAGTTGTTATAAATATCCTATATTCATACCTTACATACCCCTATCCTATGCAAGTTAGGCCAACTACTGAGCTGGCCTCACTTGCAGGTTTGCTAGTGTTTGTGGTAGTACCACAAATAATATTACCAGAAAGACCATGTCTTCCAAAGAATAATGTTCTCATGGTCATATTTATTTTGAACTAAGTGCTTTTTCCGAGTCTCTATTGCAGGCTTTTTGTTCATGTGATAAATCTACTCATCATATGGTCCTACAGAATAGTATAGAACAGAGAAGTATAGTAGTATAGTATGGTATGGTATGGTATAGCACAGCACAGCAGTAGAGTAGAGTAGAGTAGAGTAGAGTAGAGTAGAGTAGAGTAGAGTAGAGTAGAGTAGAGTAGTATAATGACTCCAGATCATAAATGCAGCCATAATTTGCTCAGGAAATAAAACCTCAAGGGAAGGAGTTCATGACATTACAAATCCTTAAATAAGTACATTTATATTTTTGAGCTACATTTATTGCTTGTGCTATAATTACTGCTAATTCACAGTATTTAATTTGATTAAGACTATTAACTGCATGTAAAACTGCATTTAAATTTTTCTTCATTCTTTTTGCAGTGGCTGGTAATAGCAATCAAACTAATTACTAATGTGTAATGTGTGGAAGTGAAAACATGCTGATTTTTTTTCATCTTCTTTTTAGAAAACGTATTCCAACCTTCTTGATGTAATTAGCAATGAAATTGACTGGCCTCAGTTTTCAGCAGTCACTGGATTTCTCAATTCCACAATTGGGTAAGATAATAGCAATGAAAATCTCTAGGGTGAATGAATGAACAAATGCCAAAAAGAGTTCAGTAGTCCAATGGACCCTTGAAATTCAATTTCTTCATTTTTTAAACATAGGATTATAATCCAATATTCCACAGAATTTCTTAATTCTGCTAATTAATGATGGCTGGGAGTTTTCTTTGAACCACAAATTGAAATTAACTGCTCTTACGGTTATAGTCTGCAAAAATGTGTAAATTGGAATGGTGTTCTTTTTGAGATTTCTCATTTGTCCAAATGTTGCGAGAGCCAGTTTGGCATAGTGGCTAAGGCTCCAGGAGACTGTGAGTTCTAGTCTTGCCTTAGACACAAAGCCAGCTGGGTGACCTTGGGCCAGTTACTCTAACTCAGCCCTAGGAAGGAGGTATGGCAAACCACTTCTGAAAACCCTTGCCAAGAAAACTGCGGGGACTAGTCCAGGCAGTTGCCAGGAATCAAAAACTGACTCGAAGGCACACCAACACCATACCAAATGTTGCAATGCAGTTGTCTCAAGGAATAATCCAAAATAAATGAAAATGTGCATTTTAGAATGAAATGGATTTAGAATGCATACTCTGAGAAAAAATATTTTTAGAAATGCATCTTTTGGAAGAAATATGCATTTAGTTCTAGTTTTGCATGGATTGCTTTTATTACAACTTGATGCAGAAACGGGAATGAACAGATAATGAATGAACACATTAATCTGTCAGTCTAACTGACTTGGACTAGAAATACATTTAGTGCAATTGTAATTTATTGTATTTTAGTCTACAACAAGTCAGAGTAATCAAGTATGCAAAGCAAAATTGATATGGAAAGATAGTGAGCAATCTAAAAACAAGACCACTGATCTATTAATGTAGTCTTCTTCATACAATATTTGTATTTTCTCTTCCTACAATTGTACTACTTTCACTCTCATTTCTTTCACTTCTTTCCTATTTTTTCACTGTCCATTTTTTCTAAAATCCAATCATGACACTACCAAAAAATTCTGCCCCATATTCAGAATCTTTTGTCAACCTTGTATTCTTCCTTAACATTCTCACTCTTTCATATTAATCAATCCAATCAATCATGCTTTTAAATTTAGATTCCTTCCTTTGCCATATGTTTGCATGAACAGTTATATGTGGTTAAACTACATATTTGAAAGAAACTGATCTTCCCAATCTATTTTTATAGTATACTGTCTTGTCTTGTTCTCACCCATCCATTCACGCTACGTAAGGTAATATTTTTTTGCCCTGGATCCTATTCATTCAAAAAGTTGCTCAATTTTTCCCCAAACCGATCTTTGGTTCTTTCATTATTGCCATTCTCTGGAATATAACATTACAACAATCACCAACTTTTGAATTTTTACTTTCATATCGACCCAGACTTACATTCATAATTAAACCTACCCCTTAACTTCCATAAATGTCTATCACTTCTGTTTCACAAGTTCAGACTGACCTTGATTAAAATCTGTTACATCCTTCCACTTTCTTTTGGTTTCACAATCACGCATATTATCTCTTTTCTTTCTTTCATTTCATGTATTACTTCATCTTCTTTTCTCCTCTGACATTCCAAGTCACAATCTTTCACATGCCATGGTAGTCACCAGATGGGTTCATAAATATTAACTCTGTCTCCCAAAGGTCTGCTTTGGCCAATCAAGGCTTTCATATGCCCTTTTCAATAGGAAAAGGAAAGAGTTGTCTAAATTACCAGCCCTAATTGTACCCATGCCACATGCCTTCTTGCTAATGTACTGTACTGATCCTATCTGTCTTCACATTTTGGCCAGTTATAAGTGCAACTAAAGCTTAATTTGACCACAAACATACTCTTACTATTCTGTGCAAACTAGGGCCTCTAGAGACTACCTTGCAAGCCAACCTACTATTGCTCATAAGAAGCACACGCAGCATATTGACACACTGAGGATACATAAATAGCAATATATTTTAGTGCCTTGTTTAAAGAAATACTTAGTTGAAACTATTAATGTTCTAAAAATGTAATATACTGCTTGCTTTATTATGCTTGTTTTATTTTATGTAGTATAGTTGACTGCTTTCTAAAAGCTGGAGCTGTCAAATATAAGTAGCTATTTATAGGAAATCCAGCCTCATTAATAATGCAAAGCTTTTATTTTATGGGCTGCACAACGTTATTTTCATCTTGACTGTAATGCACAATAGCATGTACCTTTGTTAGTCTGGGCCCTCCTGCTTGCTTGGAGATAAAGTCTCAGTTCAGTCTGTCAATTAAACAAAGCTAATGTTTCAAGCCCACCTTGAAAATAGGTTGTATAAATTCTCTTTTTTCCTGCTCCTTTCATCCTTTCTTTAGGTTTTAAGTTACCACATCCCACAAAGTTCAGAGTATATAGTAATTTATAATGCCACTTGGAATGCATTACATTTAAAATGTTGTATATAATATTATTATCATTACAATACATATATCCCTAAAATAATTGCTACTGATTTATAGCTATTGAATGTGTCTCATCTTTCTTAGAAGATATCTAGATTTAACCTCTCTCAGTGACATGATTATCTTCTCCTTTCAGTACAGATCTTGCAAATGGTAATTGCTTAATTAATATCTCACTTTATAATTAATTATACCCGAAGAGTGATGTGAACAAATAATTATGCTATTTGTCATTTTCAGCTTTCAGAATAAACAGACCCAGTTTACTTGACTTTTAGCAATGTGACTTATTTGTTTGTGGCCCCTGCAAAATTTCATGCTGGCTAGGAATTCTGGGAGCTGTAGTCCAAGATATCTGGAGGGCTTCAAGTGGGAGAAGACTGCCACAATTTAAGTTAGATAGTCCATGGCTTCCATGCTCCCTGGTACACTACAGATTGACCACAGCATTTTCCCCAAGCTCTTCTCCCCACCAATAAGATAAGGATAGGGCATCTGTAGCCCTTAGTCCCATTGCCACTCTTAGTCCCCCAGATCCCCAAGCCCTGTTAAAAGATCAGCCCTTTGAGGGAGGCCAGGCAAGGAAACAGACTCCACAAGAAATATTAGGACTCTGTTGATGCAGGCTATATTGTAATAACAGAACCTTGAAAGCCTAAGAGCGTTTCCCCATTCCTCCTTCTTATACCAAAGAGAGTCAAGGCAGAAAAGTCCAATTTTTTTTTCTCACATTCTCTTGTTTTCCCAGACTGAGTTTATGTTTTGTTAACCATCTCTGTGCTCCTCTATACCCACTGACTGGTTAGGAAGGTGAGATGCAGCCCTTCAGCCCCCAAAATTCCCTTCTTAAGAAAAAATGATACTGCTATCTGTTTGAAAAAGACAGTAACACAGGAGGAATTTAGAACAATCTTCTTTCTCCAGGCATTTGGATCACAGGGAGGTTACTACTATGTATATCTTTCATTTATATTAGATGGCTTTTTGTGTGCCTCATTTATGATTTTATGATTTTGCTTTTACCTTCGTAAGTTGTCTGGAGTCCTGTGTTTGGGGTGGCAAAGAAATCTTGTCCGATCAATCGATGTTATTTGTGTCATTGTGTATAAAAATCTGTTTTACTTCAACTGTGATGCTCACTCTTAGCTTTGAATAGATCATGATCACATAATGAACTTAGCTTAGAGGTTTGCTATTACACTGAAATGAGGCTCTAGACATGGAGGAAAAGGATACCAATATAACAAAATCTGTTGACAGTATTTTGTACAGTTGAGCTAGGTGGCCTATAAGTCCTGTGTCACTGTTTAGTTTTTAATCTTCCAGTTAGATGATTTTGATATCAAACATTCAGTGATTTCAGGGAGCATTATTCAGTTATTGTACAATGTTTTATCTCCCTTTCATTCATTTTGTTCTATAAATGTAAATAATCTAGTTAGTATAGAGATCTCCACATATGTTTATTCATTGCTTATGTAGACTTAGAAGAGAATGTCTTTAATACTTAAGCTACACTCTGCCCCTTCCAACTTCCTTCCTCTGAAGACTCAAGGGGAGTCTTTTCCTTAGGATGAACTGTCTGTATTTCATTTACATGTTATATGTTTATTATTTTACTGTGGGATTACAGAAATGTAAGATACAATTGCCAATTTGAAACTAGTTCTGTACCTTGGTTCAGCCTCTCTGTTCACCTATTATATGCAGTTAAAGAAATATTTTTTGACAGTGTAGAAGTGCAAGACCTCCCTGTGGGTGGAGTATATATATTACTAAACATAGCACTTGATATAATCAGCTGTACTTCTATAAGATGGCATTCATTTGTCTGTTCCCCAAAGAAAAAGTAGTTTGTGCCAGCACAACAGGAGCAAGGCATAGAATTCAGCTTGTTTTGGCTTTGTCATTCCACCTATGGTATTCCTTGGTTTATGATCAACAGTAAAAGCCATTTGTGCTCCAGAATTCTAGAATTCTAATTTCAGTATTCTAAAAAAAAAATGAGCAAGGGCGTAAAAAAAACATATTCTCAGTACTACTGCATTTTGCAGTAAATTGGTAGAAAAGGAACAGAAATAGGAAGGGAGAACGAGAGAGAGAGAGAGAGAGAGAGAGAGACACTAAGGTAGCGGAAACAGATTTAATGATCTATACACTATTGTAGACATTCTACAAATGGTTCTTTGAACTAAAATTCAAAGCAGAAATGAGGTGTCTGGATATTTTGTGTGTGCAGACATGTATGTCAATTTCTTAGATGTATATTCTGCTCACAGTGACTTACATGGAACTCGCCCTTCATTTTATGGCCACCACAGCAACCCTGTGAAGTATACTGCGATTCTTCCAGAAATCAAAGAAAGGGAAAATAACACCATTATGCCAAAGAAGGCTTATGTCTTGACACAACCTGTTCTTTAGTTAG